CCGGTTACCCGTTAGGTTCTCCGCGACTCCGAATCGGCATCGGCCCTATTGGGCCCCATCTGTGGTGGTCTGATGGCTCTTTGAGGCGCGCGCGGAACGCGACGCGCCGTACGCTCGGGTTCGGGTCTGTTTCTGGTCAGACGGGGAGCCACCCATGCTCGCCGTCCGCAGGCCCGCGCTTACGGTGGCCGGAGATCGTCCCGCGATCCCCGACGCCCGGTGTGTCCTTCGCGATGGCTGGGTTGCGAGGAGGCAGCGCTTCGCTGCCTCACGCGTCCCGCCTCCTCCTTAGCCAGCATGACTGCTTCGCAAAAGGAGGAGACGGCATCCCAGTCCCCCTCGCTCCGCATCATGGCCTGCACTAGGCCCGGACGCGAGAGGTCTCCATCGCCGATCACTTCCCTGAGGGCACGGCGGTGCTCAGCCCACGCAGGGCATTCCGCAACAGTGTGTTCCACCGTGTCCTCAGGGTGGTCCTCGCAGTGATGACACCCGGGCGTTTCCTCCCGCCCCATCAGACACAGGTACCTCCCGAAACTTCCATGTCCGGTGAGGACCTGCGTCAGGCGGTAGGTGAGGACGCCGTAGCGTCTCTCAAGCCACTCCTCAAAGAGGGGACTTACCGCTGCAATGGCAGCGAGCCCAAATATGAGCCTCTAGCATGGCTTGAAACTAGTCGAGTTCCTCGTCAAACAGTTACGTGAGTAAGCCGAAAATTACATTAATTATTCTGTAATTAATTTAGAAATAAATGATTTGTTAAATACAAATGAGTTTCGAAATTAGGTACTTTTGACTCGAGTTATCCTTAAAGGAAAGATCGGCTTTAAAGGAACATCGTTTCGGTAATTAATTTCCCATAAAGAATTTTCCTTAACCTATTTAATAATATAATAGACTATGGACCTTTTAAACCGTAATTACAAGTCTTTTGGCTTTGTTGAGCTAAAAATCAATTAAAACCATAATTAATAGGGGCTAAAAATGTCCGAAATAAGCACTGTAATCACAAACAGTATACAAATCTCAGACAGTATTACCTACAATTTCCGAATCTGTCTATATGTTTTTAATGGATTTTAAACTTTATTATAAAACAACAAATTTCTAAATCGAATATCGACGTTTGTACTACAGTTGAAGTCCTATAAGACATTGGCGTCGCTGAACCAAATAAAGACTGCATGTAAGTGCTATCAAGAACACATGTTCGATCTGCGATCGCTTCAACTTTAATCGTCTGTGTGAAAGTGTGAGTTCATAAACTGGTTTCCAGTAATTTACTCCTTAGTGTGTGTGTTGAAAACTGTTTGCAAATTACAATAGGGTTTGCATTTCAACTTTTCGTTTCTGGTTTTTATAAACTTGTACTTTTACCGGAGAGAAATAGTCACTTTTTGTGGTTCTCCAATTTTCGGTCTGAAAATATCTGGTACCTACATAGTAGTTATTTCTAACAAAAAAATAATACTACGTGCAATTTCTCATTCCAAATGTCCGTAGTAATATCTCATTTTACGTCCCGAGTCGCGGCTTTCATCAGTTTTTATTCCGTGCCATCTTTTATCCTCTTATCATTTGTGTCGTCCGATGAAAGGCTCAACTGCTGGGTCAGTATCATTTGCACCCTCTTTCATGAGTGGATCTCGAGAAATTCCTTTCTTAATAGCAGCTTGCGAGCAAATGGGGGCCGTGGGCTGCACGAGCGAAATCTTTAGATCTAAATACATGAGCTTTTATTACGCAAGGATCCAAATTGAGGACTGGGGAACTATTCGAGAGACTATTAAAAGAACTGCTCAAGATTTTCTTCCACACCAAATTTGTAGCACTGGAAATGTCGGTGGAAATATAAGTGCTTGTGAATAATGTAGTCAGCTGAGTACATAAAGAAAATAGTTTGCTTAAAGGCCCGGAAAATCCGATCCAACGTAATACAATTATTAGCATTAGTAAAATTGCTTGCTCTAGCTAGAAAAGGGCTTTTAATTTCCATAATGGAAACTGTCAAGAAATAACAAAGGAGCTCCGTGTCACGGCTCTCACAACGAAATTACATTCAAGTGAAGGTTTGCGTAAAACTTTTACGAGTTTTTCAACATAATCCTGTTAAGGTAAGAAGGATATTGTTTTGAAAAGCGCCTTTATTTCGATACAGGTAGGGGTTAGTTTAATGTAAACAGTGACGTTAATGTATCAAAACGCACCTGTGTACATGTAAAAAAGCCCCTCTCAGCGAAAGTGTGGGGTGGAGAGTAATTTAGGGTGATACATGGCATTGACGCAACCCTCCGCTTTTACCCGTAATTACTAGCGGCCCCCGTTTCAATGAACCTAGGAACTTGCTAAGGCTATAAGGCAGTAGTTATGTAGATGTGGGGGTTTGATATTCATGCCTTGGATGTTATGGACGCCTGGTAGCTGTTGACAGGATTTTGCATTCTTGTTTACGTGCGGGGGCGCATTGGAATATCCTATTTAGTTTCAGTGTTAAGCTTGATTGGTTTCTTTAGCTTAGTGTGTGTGTTTTTGAACTTTATGCGGTACCTCTTGATTTAAACGCATTTTTTATTGCCAAAATCTAAATGACCTTAATAAACTTCCAAAAAAAGTCTTCTGGACACGAAGGCAGTCAATAATCATTACAGTATTTCACATCAGAATGTAATCAGAGCAAAATATCCCGCTGTGTACCACATAATGAGCAGTTCAATCCATTACTGGTTCGACTGGCGACCTCACTCGTTCCTGATGACTGACAATTTCCGTGGGACTGCCCAGCTGGCGGACCATTTACTCCGAACATTGATTAATGACATTTCTTTACCTAAAACCTACAATATTGGTTAAACTAATCCACTAATGTAACTGAGAACTGAGAGTCGAAAAGGTAACCTTTGAATATAAACGCAGAATGAATTATCGTTTCAGCGAATTTATTACAGTCATCTTTCTTTTCACGGCCATTTTGGAAGCGATGTTGGGATCGTTAAGTAGATTTTATTGGGCAGCGTTTACTGTCTGCCCGGTGATCTAGTGAAGCATAAAAAAGCATAGTAAGTAAATACTTTTTAACCAGCAAATAGGACTAATTCTATAGTTGTTTTAGGACCAAAGAACTGAAGAGCTAAAATGCTTTCATAAAGACCCATTTACAAAACAAACACCTTAGAAGTTCATTCATTTTGACGCCTAAAAACTTACATTTTATCACTAACAATAAATACATAATTTATTCTCCATATCTACATTATAATATCAAAAGGAACGAAGTCTATAAATGCTACATTAACCAGTGATAATGATGCAGGTCGCGTGCCAGTAGCCGCAGCAGAATGTATGAGCATGTTTGATATTACCGACAAAGTGCACGGTTTGATGCACTCAAATGTTATTGCGATTATGTCCATTGTTATCGAGTGTTGCTATGTGGCTTGTGCGTGTATATGTCCGGTCAGCCTTTTATCAGGTACCTACAAAGTATAAAAGACTGACCTTTCTAATTGTTGGGTTTGTCTCTATAACCGTCCTAGGTTGAGATATGTAGAAATTCTAAAAAAAGCGTATCTAATGGCATACCCAAATTATCACTATTTGCTAAAAAAGGGTAATGGCATACCCAAATTATCTATATTTGCTAAAAATGGGTAATGGCGTACCCAAATTATCACTATTTGCTTTTTAGAATTTTACTTATGAATGTCCTTTCAAAAATACCTACAGTTTAGGTAATGTTCGTATTATGTTCATCTTTAATTTCTATAAGTAATTACCAAACCAAAGCTAACGATTTTCCGTACCTACACAAACTGTTTCTGAACACCGAAAACCAATTTAAGTCCCAAAGTAATTCTTACTTAATTGTAAGTAATTTCTGATCCATCATCCCTGTGACGCGAACTTTACACAGAGTAAGTATCCAAACATTTAATAAAATGCAAAATCTTCAAGTATTTGAACGAGAAGTTGTAATCGTTTGATGTTATAAGTGCTCCAGTTATTTTGTTTTCTCATTATGATTTGTTTTATTCGCTTGAGAGCGTGCATGTATGTTTTTTCAGCTGTCGAAGATTAAAGAGGTTATTAGAGGCAACTTATGAAATGGTCAATGTCTATGAAAATTGAGACGCTTCTATGTTATTTGTTTAATGTTCTATGTGAATAACGTGATTATTATTATCGATCATTATTTCAACATCGTATTGGTTACAGTCGTACAGATAGTTTGTATCTTTGATGGAACGTCTGAGTGTAAATTAGGCAATGAATTTCTTCTAAATTTCTTGTATTTGTATTGCACCTAATATATTCAATCCTTTGTTATGTAGACTGTAAATATATTAGGTTTTGAATAGAATAGGTATTTTATGGGATAGGAAGCAAATGAGTACACTCGCAATTAACAGACGACTTACAGATGCGTTTCCGACCGTAAAAAAAGGTTATTTCTTTTCTTAAACTGTGAAATTTGATGGTTATTGTATGTATTAGCCAAATAAAAACAAATAACCTGCCAGTGGTCAACTGCAGTGTTGCAAGTTGAACTATTCCTTTATGAGATCTCTCCTTCTCGGTACTTTGGAGTGTGGCCAAAATTGGTCGGAGCCAAAACGAGTGCGGGTTAAGACTTACGGTCATTCAGGGAACCATATTTTTCACTTGAGTAGTTACTTAGTTTGTGTCATATTCTAGACTTCATTTAGACTTTATGGTTCCTAAATTTCAGTAAAATAAATAAAGTTGGTCTGCAGACTTTTAAGCATCTTTGTTATCATTTATTAGGATCCAATGTTTTTATCAGTTTAGGAAGTTGTTTTGGGGAATGTGTATATTGTGTATAATTAAGTCTTGCAGCTTGAATCACACCTAGCACGCTGTGGGCATTCTTAACTGAAGGTCGAAAAATAATTTGTAATGATGCTACCTTCGTAGCTAAAAATACTCACAAAAACATACGTTAAACTGGCATCTAATATCTTGTTTATTAACAAGTATTTTACCTTTGTATCGACATCATGGAAGGGCACAGCAAACCACGGTTTGCCGGTCAAACTACGACGGAATCCCGCCTCCCGTTCCGCAAGACCCTCAGGGGTGCCAACATGAGCCCACAACACCACCTGCACGACCTTCAATCGAGGATGCACACGTTTGTAGACCTCCTCCAAACGCACTCCGAAATCGTCACTTGTATCACTGATATTCGCGAAAGAAAAGTAAATTCCGCACACGGCTCCCTCACCCTCCTCCACACAGTCAGACAAAGCTTCTAATGTTGATACATTCTCGAATTTACCATTTTGAGTCCCCGATTCACACTTGACTAGCACCTTCCCAAACAGTTTTTCGCGCCAATCCATTTTTACTTTTTATGATTTAGTTATTCGGATACACATCCATAACTTGTAGGTACACGTGTGCACTAAAATGGTTTGTTTATTTATCTAAGTATGTTCGGTTTTCAAATATTTACACAGTGGGCAGAGTTGGTTGCATCGTGTAATAAACTTATTTTTTCTTTTTTTATGAAGACATGAAGAAATAATCAGCACAAGTTAGCACACTTGGAATGGAATGCGAATCAAAACTTTTTTGTTTCGCCAAAAAGTAAGTTTAGTATTAAATTGTGATAGATGTAAGTTATTTGGAGTAAGTTTCGAGACGAATTAGTCAAGGAGCACAGGATGTACAGCAGCGAATATAAGTTTTATTTTTAAATTAGTCACGCGTGCGCGTTGGCGGGTCGCGAGGTGCAACGCCCGCTCGCCCCCGTAAACAAAGCCAGACTGGAGAGGAGGGAACGCGTAGCCCTCTGTGCAGACATAGAGCAAACATTTTTGAACAAACAGACACGAGAGATCAAAAAAAGCTTCGTTCATATTTGTTTTGTTTGAAGGTAAATACCTACGCGCAGTTGTCGCCTGATTTGTTTGCATTTATTTTGCCTAATTATTTAACTTTGGGTTGGCGACATCTTGGGAATCGGAATTAACTGGATATTTTGGTTTGTGAATTGATTAGTTAGCCTGTCTGTGCGTCGTTTATATTTTCTTTATTCTTTTACAGTTTCTAACCGCTGCTGTTGTAGTACCAACTCAAACGTGCACTGACTTTCGCATTGCCTGCCTACCCATTGTTGTTGTTTGTTGAAATGGCCAATTGAGTTTCCTCATTGAATTAAACTTTAATTAATGCAACAAAAGCGCTGGAAGCTGAACAAATGTTAACTTGAATGTTTGTATTGTGTTTGTTGTTACATTTTGTCAGACATTTTTATGCAAGTACCTATTTACCTACGTTGTTGCTTTTTCAAAAAGGATGTTCCAATTTACTTAATTCTACTCTCTCTAGACCAGCATTATCTAGTCTTTAGTCAGTGTTAATCAATAAAGGAAGGTATTTAGTTAATTAAAGGTAGGATTTCGTGTAGGTACCTAATCCACTTTCCATTAAACAGCACTTTTAGGACTTCAGCATTGTAGCAATTCTAATTGTTAGGTTAGCTTTGATTCTCTATTTACCAAATAGAGAATCAAAGTTTTATTATCAAAGGTCTATTTTTTCATAAAATGGCAATAGTAAAAAATACAAAGAAACATTAAGATTATAACATTAGTCAAGTTTTTTGTCGAGACTAGCAACAAAATGTCAATACACATAATGACGAATGCATTATGTCATTGATGATGCAATCCTCCTTAAAGCCGTTTGATATTGACATTTGACAAGTAGGTACAAACGTGTTTTAGATAGTACACATATGTTGGTGAATTGGTAATACAATGCCTTCGTGCCTATAGTCTTGGAATTACTTTTCTTCTTATTCTTACCGGACATTGTCATAATATTATGGACTTTTTTTGTTCCGTGCACTCTTTCAAGGCCAGAATTAGGTAGATGAGTACCGAAGTGTTCGAAAAGTGGGTTCAAAATTCAAAAATTTTGTCAATAAATTGGGGAATCATCATTATATTAGTTGAACCATGATACGATCATTGTAGCCTATACATTTAGTTAGGTTCAACTAAATGGACAGACCTCACCGGACCAAATTCCGGTCGCGTTCCCAACTCCGGGCAGTTCAGGCCAAATTCCAAATACAGCTATGTATCGTCCGTTGTTGGTGCAAATATTCCGGATCTCATTAAATCAGTTAGGTAGTCACTAATGGAATTAATGAATTATGCAATGTAGCGCAAACCGTGGCGGATGAAACTAGTTGATTGTAAAAACAAACTTAGGTACCTACCTAATAAGTTTTATCTAATGTCGAGTGCTGAATTCAAATCTGAATGGAAAGGAAGAGGATGATCTAAGAAGAAGAAGAAGAAGAATGATTATAAGCTGATTACTTAGACTTACCTGATACTAGTTTTTTTAGTAATCGAAATGTGTTGGCGTAAGGCTACTATCTCGTCGTGGAGAACCTAACGGGTTACCGGGGCTCCGGCTCGACGTGCAGGAGTAGGAACGGTGTGGTTTTTAGTCAGTAAGAGTCTGACACTTCCTCCCGCCTCACCTAGGCGGGAGCAGTAATTCGATGATTTCCCCCCCTTAAAAAGGCTACTATCTCACCTAGTGATATGAGGGAGAACGCATGCCCTGAAGTCACTCAGGAAATACTCTTCAGGATACACAGACTTTAACAACCCATTGCACCGTGACGTGGAAAGCAGTTTGTCTGGTTGTGCGATCATGGAAAGAATTTGAATGTTGAATGAAGTTTGCTTTCCTGAGATCGGACTCAAAAGTTCGAACTAAGTACTTACAAATAATTTCAACCAGTTACTCGACACAATACAATACAAAACATTACTTCCAGTGTTGGAAACAAACGAAAAGAAAACAAGAGAGTCGTGTAATATAGCTAAGTGTTTTGTTTCTATTGCCACAGCGCGGACAGGACGCAGCGAACTTTGATTGTAACGTCCGAACTTTTGCCCGTCGACTGTCTGGTGTTTATTTTCGTTTTTCTTTTAATGATTGTATTTGTTAACATGAGTTTATATTTTCTAAGTACCTATGGAGCTATAGAAAAGGTGAAAAGGTAAATTCACGCTTTTGTACTCCTCTAAAGGTTTGAAATATGGTATAGGCTTTTTCTTAATAATTATTTCGTAATAAACTTCCTCAGACTTAAATAAAATAAGTTGGATTTGATTCAAGTAGCTGTTTGCGAAGTTTGCTCTTAGCGACACATTTTGTGATCCATTTACTTATGGATGAGATGATGCGAGATGCATATGTTGATAATTTCAGTTTAGGTACCTATAAATAGTATTAAAATATAAGTTTCTTGCGTTAAAAAATCAATTGCACAAATATCTACTTACAAAATTATAAATGCAAACTACATAAGTAGGTAGGTACAACGTCACAGTTTCATTTCGTACCTACTTATTTTTGCATGTTTTATTTTAGTTTAATATTTTAACTCTTGTTGTTTTAATCAAGATCTTATATCTGATGTGACAAATAAAGAAACAAAAAGTTTGCTGGCACGCATGTGCAATTTCGTCGTTTTGTGATAACCAAAGCGCTGCGGCGCTACAAAAAATGAAAGTAGGTATTAGTATTTCTTAATAGATATGTTAGGGACTATTTGTCTGGGTTTCTAATAGGAACAGTATGATTATTATTTGCCACAGACTGTGTTTCCTGAAGAGTAAGTACAGCTTGGCCAGGGTGTCGTCAAGGCCCGAGCCTATAGGTGCGCTTCATTTTAGGCTGCACGAAGGTGACCAAATTTTATGTACTTAGGCAACAATAAGTAAAACTCACCTAGGTAAACAAAGTTAAAAAATAAAAAAGAAATAGGCATCTAGCTGATAGTTAGGTAGCTTTTTTAATCTTTTTTATTGTTTTTCTAAAACAAACGTGTTTGATTTATAATAGATAACCAATTCGATTTTATGTTCAAATGTCTAAATATTTTAAGATTGTGTAAAGAGATTCATATAAAATCAATCAGTGCGTTTAACGTAATACAGCGCTGAAGCGGAAAAGTGGCTGAAAAGTTTGTAACATGATTTATACGACTGTTTTATGGGAAATCAATAGGCGTATAGTGGCTGTCTGGCTTTTGTCGACCTGTCAAATCAGCCATTTTTATCTGTGCAAATAAGCACTTTCCCGCGCTTTTCGTTTTTATAGCCCCATCGATAAAGTATAGGCGAGGCGCAAATGGGCTATTTATTGGGGTTAGGGAGCTTTTAACGTCTTTTATGGTGGTTCTTAATCTATTGAGTATCAACCTAAGCTACAGCACACACTTTAAGTAGGTAAAGTAAAGATAAAATTCGAGGTACCTAAGTCAAACCACTGTAGGTCCAAATTACCAAAAGCACTTTATCATACAAAGAATTGTTCCATACGGGAACTTAATCCGTAAAGCGTAGCAGCTAAATGGTTATCTTATACTAGTTAGGATGGCTAGGATAAAATAAATAAATGTAGCTGCTACACTATATCCACCTTGTCAAATTATTAGCAAGCGTAAAGTAGATGGCGCTGTTTTAGTCATACTTGCTTCAGACTGTCGTTATACGTAGAAAAAATCAGAGTATATAACAAAATGATTAAAAATAAATAACTAGATTGAAATTACCGACTATTAATTAAAATTCAGATATAGCAAATCACAAAACAATGTTGGACTACGTATCCGATTTTGAAATGTGTTATTAATCATATTGTCAGCTGTCAAATGTCAGATTTGAAGTTGACTTTTAGATCAGCCGGTAACTGGTGGCAGTTTTGTTTGTTTTGTACACAAAATCAACAACAAACGAAGTAAATAAAGATTTTTAAAGAATGTAAATCATATTTAGAATTATCTTAGAAACTAATATGTCTGGTTTAGTGGTTACTTTAAGTTCTTCAGAGGACGAAGACGTAATGCCTTCTGCAAGAAAACAAAAACAGAATGTGTTCGGTGATTTAGACATTATACCCGAAGAGGCGAAAGAAAGTGTGATATCTAGGGACCATTTATTAGATTGTAAGTATAATTTAATAGACATCTTTCGGCACACTGAAGATGACATACCTAATGACCACATAACTAGAGAAAAAAATATTTCGTATTCTTATTCAAAAATCTTCTAATTGTATAAATATACTGTAAAATAAATATTATAATACTTATAATATTTATAATTTATCAGTAGGTAGTAGCAGTAAAACTTTAACCCAACAAGAGAAGAAGAAGACTAAAGCATTAGAAAAAGAAGCCAAGAAGAGAAAACTGCAGGAAGAAAAGAATGAGAAGGAGGCACGCATTGAGATGAACAAGGTTTATAAACCTGGAGAATGTATGCAGGTAATAAGCAAACAGAATAAAAGAAGTAAAGATTGGTCGAGTATAATTATATAATATACTAGCTACTTCCGCGCGGTTTCACATGCTCTGCTCAGCTCCTATTGGTCGTCGCGTGATATTTTATTGCCTATAGCCATCCTCGATAAACGCGCGATTCAACACAAAAAGAATTATTCAAATCAGACTTGTAGTTACGGAGATTAGCGCGTTCAAACAAACAAACTCTTCCGCTTTATATAATAGTATAAGATAAGGGCATAACCTGGGTGTCTTCAAGGCTTGAGTGGATAGCTTGCTTATGGGACAACATGCTCCATCGTAGACCGCATCATCGCTTACCACCAGGCGAGATAGTGGTCAAACATTGGCCCGTTAAATATATAAAAAAAAAGGTTACAATCACTTTTTATTAGTTATGTTATGAGTCCTGTCTAATATGGGGTGACCTTATTACCATACATGGAGTGGTTATGCACATATTGAGAACTAGAGAGAATATGAAGTCGGTTAAAAAGAAGGTAGATAACACGATAAAAGACTTGGTCGATTAGCTTCATTGGCCCCATGACAAAAGTTTACACGAACTTGCTGTCCCTTAAAATATGTTTCCTTTTCAATGTTTGGGTTTCTCTTGGATCTGTTTTACTTGTCTATATTGGATGTTCAGATAGGAAATTGTTCTTATAATTTTTTTCACAGTACATCAATGTGGTCATCAACAACAATTTATTACATAAATGGTACATGACAAGTGTCGAGCATGAAGTTACTGCGACTGGAGCCCATATTCAGAGACAGCAGTCTAATCAGGACATCATTACCTGGAGTAGGAGACTGCCTCTGACACTGGATAGATACTTTGAGAAGGTAACTTAGTAACAACTAAAAAATTTTTTTTATGCATTTAACACGTATTGTATTTTTGGTCTTTGTTTACACATAAAAAAAAACAATGTAGTTTAATTTACATTGTGTGTGAATTAAAGCTTAAAACTAATAAGACATTTGTAAAAAAGTAAAAAAGTACAATCCTTAAATCGAATTTAAAATAAAAATGACAGCTAAATACTGGTCTCAAGGACAAAATTAATGTGACAAAATTCATGACGAAGAACCCCTCTGTGGTTCGAAACTAGTAGAGCTTTTCTCAGTATTTTCACGTGAGTAACCCGCGATTCTTAGTTAATTAAGTTAATCAAATGTTTCAGTTAAAAAAGCCGAATGAGGAGAAGTGTGACCATGCTCTATGCATAATGGAAGTCGATCGTGTGACGCGGTTGGTGCAGGACAATGCTCTCGCGAGGACCATGACAGAGTTCAAGGAACAACTGCAATGCAACCTCACTTTAGTCGTCGTACAAGTAGAAGGATATTTCAAGTTAGTATAAAACCTTTTTTATAGAAAATAAAATAAAATAAAAAACAATTTCATTAAATAGTTAAATACTTGTAAACTTATACATTTGTCTGCAGGTCGAAAAATGGACGCAAGGAGATGAATAATATTGATTTCGAACTGGCCTTAACAGGTAGACCAATATAATAATTTACTAGCGACCCGCCCCGGCTTCCCACGTGTGCAATGCGCATGTATTATACATATAAACCTTCCTTATGAATCATTCTATCTATTAAAAAAACCGCATCATAATCCGTTGCGTAGTTTTAAAGATCTAAGCATACATAGGGACAGACAGACGGCGGATAGACATTGTTTTATACTATGTAGTGATTATACATCTTCTCCTTTTTGAAGTCGGTTTTAAAGAATAATATAAATTTTGCTCTGGCAAACAATCATTTTAATCTGAGAAATCCATTACCACATTTTGGATAGACGGGGAAATCGAAATCGCGACAGTATGTGTCGGTTTATTGACATCTGAAGCCTAATGTCTCTTATAGTCGTTTAGAGAACAGAGAGTATAGTTCCCTAAGATCGGGAAAGGAAGATCCTCCGACCAGGCGAGGTGATCGTGCCTGGCGGGCTTTCTGCCCAACAGTTGTTCGTTGGGATTTTCTATCCGTGTTTATTCGCTTGTAAACTTTGCATGTGCCGTTGACATGTGACATTTGTCGCCACAGTCGTTAATTATTATTGGTGATTTCCAGATGTGATGGTGACGGCTGATTGCGATGTGGTGACAGTAGAGACCGCGCAGGAGATGGCGGAGACCATAGTGAGGTTTACTAAAGCCATCGCTGATGCACCCGCTAAGTAAGTCAACAGTTGTTATTAATGTAAATTAGAAAAGGTCCATATCGAAAAAGGCCTAAATACAAAAAGGCCTAAATCCAAAAAGGCTTTAATCCAAAAAGGCCTATATCCAAAAAGGCTTTGATCCAAAAAGGCCTAAATCCAATAAGGCCTAAATCCAAAAAGGCCTATATCCAAAAAGGTCTAAATCCAAGAAGGCTTAAATCCAAAAAGGCCTAAATCCAAAAAGCTTGTATCCAAAAAGGTCTAAATCCAAAAAGGCTTAAATCCAAAAAGGCCTAAATCCAAAAAGCTTGTATCCAAAAAGGTCTAAATCCAAAAAGGCTTAAATCCAAAAAGGCTTAAATCCAAAAAGGCCTAAATCCAAAAAGGCTTAAATCCAAAAAGGCCTATATCCAAAAAGGCTTAAATCCAAAAAGACTCAAAAGGCCGCCAACGAACTCTCTTGTAACTTGTCTAGTGTTTCGGGTGACCATAGGCGGTTCTATAGCCATCGCTGATGCCCCTGCTAAGTAAGTCAACAGTTGTTATTAATTATGGAATATGAATGGAGTTTCTTGTTCGTTCTTCTCCATTCGAATCTACGTTTTGGAACGAGCACCTAGCTTCACTGACGGACAGACTGACAGACTATTATTTATTTTGTATTTTTGATGTATCAAAGGTACCAAATTATGGTCTAACGGCCACTAACGATAGCTCTTTTAACTCGTCTGGTGTTGCCGGTGACAATAGGCGGTGGCGATTGCTTACCATCAGGTGATCCATCTGCTCATCTGCCGCCGTCTTATCTTAAAAAAAAGACACAAGCAGAATTCGAACCTGAAGTAGCTCCAGCTTGTGTTTGAATACAAGTTAATTTACTTTTATTTATTTACGTTTCAGAAAAGCGAAACGGGAAATAGATGAATTGTCCAGCTTCTACATGAGAGGCGTTAACAAGAATTGTGTTGCCATTACAAATAATGGTGAGTGGTTTTTTGCTTGTAGTAACACTAGTAACACTTACACTCTTGGTGACTGGTCACAGTTTTAAAACATACTAAAATCTAAATGACTGTGTCGTTAGCCGAGTGGTCGCAAGTGCGACTGCCGGGCAAGGGGTCTCAGGTTCGATTCCCGGGACGGGCACAGTATTACTGTTTTTCTTTAATTCTCAGTAGTAGGACGGAATCTGGAATTGTGCCTGGTATATGGCAATAGGCTCACCCCCTATTCCATAGGACTCATAAACATAAATAGTGAAAATGGGTGTTACATTGTACCTACATTAGCATTAAGCGCCGTAATGTCCACCTCTGCCCACTTCTTTGAGGATTTTTTTTAAGGGGGGGAAATCATCGAATGACTGCTCCTGCCTGGGTGAGGCGGGAGGAAGTGTCAGACTCTTAATGACTAAAAACCACCCCGTTACTTCTCCTGCACGTCGAGCCTGAGCCCCGGTAACCTGTTAGGTTCTCCGCGACTCCGAACTTCTTTGAGGATAAGGCGTGATAAATATTTAAATTTTTAAGGTGATACTTTCAGGTGCCGGTGTCTCCCAGCTATGGCAGCAGATGTTAGCCGTATTACCACAATCTAGCCTCGACATCTCTCGGGCAGTTTGCGCTCAATACAAGTCACCGCTCGCCATGTATGAGGTAAATACATGTTAATTTATTATTTCTTAATCATTGTTTTGTAAGTAGACAGGTCGCACACACGGGAAATCTTAATAATCCATCATATAGATGGTTGGCAGGCCACAACTGTGCGCTTCTCACGTAGCTTCCTGCCTCGCACAGCAAAACTGTGGAATGATCTGTCGTCGGCGGTATTTCCAAACCGATACGACCTTCAAACCTTCAAGAAAAGAGCGTACTCCTTTTTAAAAGGCCGGCAACGCCCCTATGACTTCTCTGGTGTTGTGGGTGTCCATAGGCGGCGCTGATCGCTACAATCAGGTGATCCGTCTGCTCGTTTGCCTCCTATTCCATAAAAAAATATTAATAATAGGTACACAGTATACACAGCGAAAGCGAAACACCAGAAACATATTTATTTTAAACCAAACAATTTATTTTTATTTTCAGAGCTTACAAGAACCAGATTCCTTAGAACATTTAGCAAGTTTAGGCGTGTCTCGTTCAGGCGTGGCCGGGGCTAAGCAACGGAAGATCGGACGAGAGTTTGCGATCAAATTGCATACTCTGTTCACTGCACGGTCGGGAGACGTTATTGTAGGAGAACAAGCTGATGACTGAAATAAATTATTTTTTATGTAAACTTGTTTCATATTTTACTGTACCTACCGATAGTGCTATTAGAAAGAGAAAAAGAGAATATATAATATAACGAACTACTGCTGTCACTGCTATTACTACTGCGTCTTGAATAAACGTAACAGTTTCAACCATTGACTATAGTTAAGTACATATTAAACTAATAATTCGTAAAATTAACACAAGAAATAATACATTTCAATACATCAAGAACATTGTAGCAATTAAAAATGGATCTTAAGAAATCCAATGTTATTTGACGGAGTGTTTGCAAAAATACTCGTATTTAAATCATAGTGTAAATGTCATAGAAAAATCGAATTAAAACTATAAAATGTCAAAACAGTAAATCTAAGCATAACCTAAAACTTTATGTAATAATTACAAAAAGGCATTTATAACAGCATTCATTTACGTATTTATTTAATTTTCTACCCTATCACTCAGTTATGACTGTGTATTTATCAAGAATTGCGTTTAACACCATTCGGTGCGCGACACCGAAATGTTTTTTTACGAAGACGGTAGTCGGTTTTATAAGTCCGAAAACTCGTGTGTTTTTGCCAAAATATGATTTATTTAGCGTTGCTGGGGTTGGGATTGTGAGGAATTATTCGAATGATGCGATACAGCCGACACTACCGATAGAAAATGGCACACTACCGATTAAAAAGAAGATTGTTCATAAGAAGGCTAATCCTGAAGAGTTGACTCACAAAGAGGGCCATTACCTCACTATGGCTTACGCTACAGCTAATGCGTATGATTTGAAAAATTTAAAAGAAGCCCTGATCCAACAGAAGCTGTATGAACCAGGAACGTGAGTGTTTCATAACTTACCCACATTTTAAAATATTAAAAAGATGATGTAACATGAGATAAAGCGTGCATGTATAAGAAGAAACATAATGAAGATCTTATTAGAATATGTGAAAAATAATAAACATTTTATTACAACAATCAATAATTATGCACAAAATGCTTGATAAAACTCTGTAAACGGTTTCACAGTAAAAACATACTTTTATCATTACAAACGTTTCAGGCTAAAATCAGATGAGTTGGGAGATGTGGTGGTGGCTAATGCAGTGTACAGCGTGGGCACTGAGCCCCGAGAGATCATATTCTTCAGAGAAGGTGGTATAGTGTTCTGGAACTGCACAGAGTTGGAAGCTCGCAATGTACTGGAATTTGTGAGGCCGTAAGTAGACATGCACACAGTTTAATGTTAATTGTTACATATACAGTGTGAGTAGAGGCCTTGGGTTTAATGATGATGTGATGTACAGTTTGATAAGAATTTAATAAGTACTTATATTACTTATAAACAATAGAAAATTAAAAATTCATAAAAAATAGCTTAAATTAACTATCCCACTTATTATCTGCTTATCCTTTTATCTGTTGAAACACCAGCTCCCGGTATAAAACACATTATACCTGCAACTTTCAACAGACAAGAGGATAAGTACTGTTTTTGTATTCACGATTCAGTTTTCTTCCATTACTGATTGATTTCATTAAAATTCCATGTTAGTTTGATAGTAAAATTACTGTTTATGAAATACAGCTGTCACATTCTAATAAGATATTTTTAATAAGATAGTTATATTGACATATTTCTTTATTCCAGTTTTGAAATAGACAGTTATCCGCGAGATGTGGTGGAGAAAGAAAGAGAGGTCATGACTTACGTTTATCATCCTAATGTGTGAGTATAATTTTTTTTAAATATAAATAATGTGTTGTTATCTTAGTCACTTAGTAACAACACATTTCTGCATTTATTACAATGGCTTTAAGAGAGGTATTTGAAAAAGCTTGATTTATTCTAATTTCCGATCTTGTCTCTTGAAGATATCTATCACAATTCGAGTGATTACTAAAATCTTATACTATTATATAAAGCGGAAGAGTTTGTTTTTTGTTTGTTTGTTTGAACGCGCTAATCTCCGTAACTACAAGTCTGATTTGAATAATTCTTTTTGTATTAAATAGTACATTTATCAAGGATGGCTATAGGTTATAAAATATCACGCTACGACTAATAGGCTGAGCAGAGCGTGTGAAACCGCGCAGAAGTAGCTAGTAATAAATAATATTAGATTATCAGGATGAACTTGAACCAGTATATTGCTGGAGCATGGATCTAAGCGAAACACAATGCATTTTCTGTTGTGGTGGTTAAATGGCATAATTTAAAGAGTAACGAATGGAGTATCTTTATCGTGCTTCTCTATTCAAATGTACTTTCTGGGACAAGCAATTTCACTGACGCAGACTTATAGACTATTATTTATTTTATATTTGTTGATTGCCTCAATGGCCAAGTGTGATTGCCGGGCAAGGGGTCTCGGATTCGGTTCCCGGGTTGGGCTGAGTATTACTGAGGTTTTTTAAAAAAAACTCAGTCTTTGCACGGAGTCTGGAAATGTACCCGATATATTGCAATAGGCTCACCCCTATTACATGTTACATGGGACTTATAACAAAAGTATGTGTTACATTGTACAGTGGCATTAAGTGCCGTAATGTGCACCTCCACCTATCCTTTTGGGGATAAAAAGGCGTGTTGTTATTTATGTTATGTGTTATTTGTTGACGTTTCAAAGGTACCAAATTAGGGTTTAATTGAAATAGGTGCTTTGACTTTATCAAAAGCCATTAAGAATGAAATGTTCTTTTGTTCAACATAATTTGATTTCTTCATGTACTTTTTATAATTATTACTTACATACATTAAAAGTAATACATGAGTGGCATGGTATATCATAAAAATTTCATTAATAGCAATGTTTCTCACGCAAGCCGATCTAAGAAGTCTGGAACTCAAACAGCTGTGATTACTAAAGGGAGCAGGTGTGTTGTCCGATATTGGTTTTTATGTTTGTAGTGGATTTTTATACAAGATGTAGTTTTGAAAACGTGGCATTGCTCGGGGGCATGTCACAGAAGTCATAAAGGTTCAATGTAAGAAAAAATTTTGGGCCAATAGTTAAAAATACGGCTATATTAAATTGTTTAATTTCGACAGTATTTCTGAATAAGCGACAGCAATGTTTCCTATTTGAGTTTTATGGAATTAAGAATAATATCAATTACGTGTTTAAGTTTGTGTGTGTTAAGTCGCGTTATAAAGCTAGTTACAAGACGGCGGCGTGTAGGTCGCACTTATGGAAAAATGAAAAATATTTACCTACAAGTTTTTTATTGATTCGGACTCGATAGGAGAATCGATAGCCGAGTTACCTCCTAGAAAATGACGTGTCTTTAAAACAACACCTTGTATACAAAGTAGGAAACTTTCAGCTTGACAAGGTTTTATTGATTATAATTAGATACAGCATGGTTTTTGTGGCAACTTTAGGTTTGACACAGAGCTATTTTTTTATGTTTTCTAGTATCCTATTCATCTATTTGTGACATATTTTTGTTTCTGCACCTTTGCTCCCTTACCTGTACTTCATACTCCATATGCACCAATTAAATATTCCTGTCTCATATGTCGGAATACTCAAACGCTACTCAATTTTAAGTCGCGCTTAAGTATAGTTCTGTCTCCACAAATTCTTAGTAAAATGACAGAGATGGCACGATATTTGAGCACGACTTAAAATTGAGTAACGTTTCAGTATTCCGGCAATAGTTAGTTAAATGTGGCTAAATGTGTCTGTGGAAATTGCAAGATCGCAAAGATTTAAAAAAAATATAAATAATAAGAATGTTATATACTACTGAAATAGTCCTCTGTAGGTACTGTGTGATGTGGTTATATGTCTATTTAATTTCATCTGTACCTAAGTAAGTTACTCATTGATTTTTTTCGTAACTTTGTAGGAAAAAGTGTCATCTACAAGAGTCATCATTTGTGCTGGTGCCAAAGAGAGATAACTCGTTGGAGAAGTACACATTCAGGTGAGTATCAGTCTAAGAATGTTATGATAATGAAAGCTACTGAGTGCATAAATAAAAGAAAATAAACATACCGACGAAATAAAAACTGTTTGGGATGTCGGTTAAAAATAGACAGTCCATTTCTAGACTATGAGCCTCCTACTCCTTTACAACTAAAGGCGGTGTTCGTTAGCTCATCACTTAGCGGTTGAAGAGCGCAGCTTAAACGATTAACATGTCGCGAAGAACCTAACGGGTTACCGGGGCTCCGGCTCGACGTGCAGGAGAAGGAACGGGGTGGTTTAGTCAGTAAGAGTCTGACACTCCCTCCCGCCTCACCCAGGCGGGAGAAGACAGCGCTTCTGGCCGCTTTCCATTAAATATGGAGGTCCGTAATAAGCCATTGAAACATCGTCAGATAGAGTAGCGTGGTAACAGATGTATTCTACTGTGCTGTAATATTGTTTGCAGTCATGCGATGGTGCAGTCGGCGCGGCTGGGCGCCTGGGAGTCCCGGCTGGAGGCGCTGGCCACCGCCGTCAGCTCACACACTGCCGCCATGCAGCATGACGGAGCTGCGCATCTTGATAAGAAAGAGGTATGTAAATACCTCTTTCTTATTTGACCTAACAACTTACAAACAGCTTAATGAATATGGAATGATATGGATCAAAACAAGCCGATATCTTTGTTACTTTCTTTACTCATCTGTAAATAAATTATAAGTGCTAAATTTCTTGGTTTCCCAGGTGGTTCGCAAGCTAGGCGAGCTGTTTTCTCTCAGACATCGGCTAAACGTGGAGTCAGACCTGCTGGACACTCCTGACTTCTACTGGGAGGAGGAGCAGCTCGAGCGACTCTACTCCTCTACTGTCGCATACTTCACTATATCCAGGAGAACTAGGGTGAGGTGACACTTGTAGCTACAGGAGATAATATTGTGTTTGTGAAGTATTAAAACAAATACGTAAAATAATGATTGATGCCATTACTTACCTACTGGTCTATCTTCTCATTCAGGTGCTAAACGAGCGTCTCTCCCACTGCGTGGAACTCCTGGAACTGTTGTCATCCTGGGCTGCAGACAGGCATCACGTCCGATTGGAGTGGATGGTGATCGCTCTGATTCTTGCCGAGGTCTGTTTCGAATTGCTTCATCTCTTCGAAAGGTGGGTCGCCAGAAGCGAAATCGCAGACAGCTAGAACAGGCCCATTCCAGACCCACTTCCATCCGAAGTGGATCTGGAATCCGGAATTTCCAGCGAAGTGCTTCTGGAAGCTGGAATTTCTGACAAAGTGCTTCTGGAATCTGGAAATTCCGAAGTAGAATTGGAAAGTGGTTCTTTTGGTAAATTAGAATTAGAAAGTAGTGATTTGTGTAGTAGTGGTCTGGAATCGGGAATTCTGGAAGGAAAAGCGTGGAATGTGGTTAAAAATGTTTATTATGGGGATTGTATGCATATACATAGTTATTATTAAGCATTTTGAACGATGTTTTTAACATATTATTTCTTTAATTAGTGTAAGTCTCAAATGAATCGAAATTACAATACGCCATTATAATTTTTAAACCAAAGTTTTTAATGACAATTTATGTTGTTGTAAGTTTATTTAGGAATACTTTTAAACTTTGGAAAATAAAGTAAATAGTTGTTTAAATTATGGGTTAAATTTTAGACCGTTAAATTTATTGTTATCTGTTTGTTATTTGTGATAACGGTAGTTAATCGTTGTTTCGACTGCTTAATAGATTAGTAATAAGTATAAATGCTTATATTAAGGTAATATTAGCACTTAATGTTTAATTAGTTTGGTAAGTATGTACTTTCTAATGTTATTAAAGCAAACGTTACATGCCATGCCCCAAATATTGTCCTGTTTTTGATGAATTTTGGCAAACAGATACTTTGGAATGTACCTGGTTTTAATTTGTGATATTTTTTGGCAATAATATCTATTATAATTGGTTAAAAAATAACGCAACCGCAGTGGGGGATGTAGAATATGTTTATTTATATGATCTATATTTGTTTATTTTACATAAATTACTGCACCTGATAAAAATTGTTAGGAAATTTAACTCTACAGAGATTTGCTCATCGAATGTTATCAGGCGTTAGTACTTCTTGCTGTAGTTTTAACCCCAAATATTTTGACTGGGTTTTTAAAAAATCTCAGTTGTAGCACGGAGTCTGGAATTGTGCCCGGTATATGGCAATAGACTCACCCCCTAATACATGGGACTCATGACATAAATAGTGAAAAGTGGGTGTTACATTGTACAGTGGCATAATGTGCACCTCTGCCTACCGGTTTGGGGATAAAAGGCCTGATGTTATGTTATTTAAATATATATTATTTATATAGAGTAATTATTATTCTAAGTATAAGTAAAACCGTTGTGTTATCGCATAGTTTAACTAAGATTATGTATAGATACTTATATTATATTTATGTATATAATTATGTTCATAATATTGTATGAATAGATCTGTGCTTTATCTTGTTTTTGTATCAAATATACCTTCTTCTTTTATACCTTCAGATGGTTTGACAAAGTTGTTATCATGTCTTACAAATACTTAACCACAGGACGTTGAAAAATAGACGAACATAATGTCACTTAGAAATAATTGAAGCAACGAAATGTCAGTGGGTTATTTATGTGTGCGTGTGTAATGGGTCCTTCGTGTCAATGTGTGTGTGTTCTACGTGTAAGTGTATAGTAGCCAGGTGCCACAGTCGTTTCAAGCGACTCTGTCCGCCTTTTATTCAACGTCCTAGCTTAAACCTATTGGCGAACATATTTAAAGTCTGTTAAACTGTCAAACACCAAGCGGTCACCGGTGACCGCAACCTATTGTTCTTTAATTGTGTCTATAAATACGGTACTCGACGAGTTAATTTATCCTCAAAGTAATCTGGCGTGATACAGTACTTGCTTTGTGTTTCCTCGTGTGCATGAGGTTACCGGAGGCCCAATACTCCTCCCCTTATCCTTAATCCCTAATAGGATAGATGTCTAATTTTTATTTTAATGTTCGTTTGGTAGATTATTTTAAATCATTAGACACGTATTTTTTATTTTCTTTCAGAAACGAATACTTTCGACGATATATTGATTTGAAATGTCGCGTGACGTCACTTCTATGTACATTTTATACATAGAAATGACGTTTTAGCCCCCACTCCTAAACTTTGATTCGTTGTATCTAAGTATTGTTTCAAAATAAAAAAAATACGTGTCTAATATTTTTTACTTACCTAACTTACGGACTAATTTGATTTTTAATTTTCATACCCATCAACAATATCATCCCAATTCCATACCTCAAAATGCACTAAAGGACTTGAAACCCCTCTAGTATTGTTGAGTTTCCATGGATAGCGCTGATTGCTTACCATCAGGTGTTCCGTCTACACGTTTGCTGTTCTATCCCATAAAAAATTCGCACTAAGCGCTTCGCTTCAAGCTTCTATGTGCTAACTGCCTAGAATTGGAATTCTTCGGCTGAGTCTGTGGTGTGTGTTCAAGACCCGAGTGAATGTTGCTTATGGGTCGACGTGCTTCATCGTAGACCGCATCATCGCTTACCACCAGGCGAGATAGTGGTTAAACGTCGAGCCATCACAAAAAAATTGAAAGTCATTTTATGTTAAGCTTATTTTTCTGAACTATAGCTTGCCTTTTTATTTTATTTTAACACTAGCTTTTACCCGCGGCTTCGCTCGCGTCACAAAAGAATAAAAAGTAGCCTATGTGACATATACCAATACACACAGCGCCATCTATACCAATACTTTTGTTTTTCCTCGGGAATATCAATTTTTTCCGGGTTAAAAAGTACCCTATTATTTAATCCGGACTTCTAACTTTACGTCTGCAAAAATTCAAAGCAATCGGTTGAGTAGTTACGGCGTGAAGGTGGAACAAACAAACAAACAAACTCACTTTCAGATTTATAATATTAGTAAGGGTCATCATCATCATCAACAGCCTATAAGTGGCCACTGTTGACCAAATGACTCTTTTCGCACAGAAAAGGTTTGAGCATTCATCACTACGCTTGATCAATGTGGGTTGGCGATTACAAACTTATAATTAGAAATTATAACTCCAGGTTTCCTCACGATGATTTCCTTCACCGTTTATCAGTAGTGTCTAGATAATCTTAGAAGGTACGTATAACTCGGAAAATGTCACATTGGTAATTGCCGTTGGTAGGTTTCGAACCACTCTCTCAAGACGCCCGTCTTGAACCTCCGGGCCACCATGATCCCTACTATTACCCCTTCTACTTTATTTTAACATTAAATTGTAATAACACAGGACATTCTTCCGGCTCGTAGAAGGACTGAGCCAGTTCTTCTCAGCGGAAATTGAAGTGGTTTGATAATGCTACCTCTTATCCAAGAATCTGAAAGTTTCTTTATAAATATATCGACCTATCTATGTTTAGTTTAAAATAAAAATCAATCAAATAAATTCAATGTATGTTTCATTATTACTTTGAGTTACTATTTAAGTTTTAGTTAATTATTATTATTCAGTTTGTTAGGAGTAGATTTTGTCTACCTACCTCTATAAGTATAAGAAATTACGTTGGCAATTCAACAGTTTTTGTTTTGAACTTCGTAAGCAAGAACTGGATTACCACAGAACATATAAAGAAGGTTTAATTATGATCTGTGGGGCTTAGTACCTTCGAATATGTTTTTTTATGGAATAGGAGGCCAACGAGCAGACGGATCACCTGATGGTAAGCGATCAGCGCCGCCCATGGACACCGACAACACCAGAGGAGACACAGGTGCGTTGCCGACCTTTTAAAAGGGAATACGCTCTTTTCTTGAAGGTTTGAAGGTCTTATCGGTTCGGAAATACCGCCGACGACAGATCATTTCAGTTTTGCTGTGCGAGGCAGAAAGGTACGTGAGAAGCGCACAGTTTACGTTTAAACTGTCAAACACCAAGCGGTCACCGGTGACCGCGACCTATTGTTCTTTAATTGTGTCTATAAAACCGGTACTCGACGAGTTAATGAGATAGGGACCGCTCTGATTGGTTGATTCATTGGAGCCGGCCAATCAGCGCCGACCGCGTTCTCGTTTCGAAGCCGTTAAACTTAAAACAAACTTGATCTAAGACGGTTTAGTTGTTTGATAGGTCGCGACGGTAACACCATGAACGCTGACCACGCCATTGAAATGGACACAAAGTAGTAATCGGACGATTTTAATTACCTACCAACCTTATCTTTAAATGGTCGGCAACGCATCTATGACTCGTCTGGTGCTGCGGGTCTCCATGGCGGTCCATGATCGCTTAGCATCAGCTTATCCGTATGCTCGTTTGCATCTTATTTCATAGAAAAGATAAAAGAAGATCAAAGCAGTATTACTATAAGTTATACTATCAATTATAGATGTAAGTATTATTCTTCAACACGTTCCCATTCAATTGAAACATGTTCAATACAAAATGGAACGTCGTGCGACGCGTGTCCGGCTCGCACTCATGTCGTGACGTGTCGTGCCGGAAGCGTCACGGACGGCGCCGGTCCGTGACACTTTGTTATTGAAGCCGCTAGGTGGCAGTGCGAGCGGCATGACTTTTATGGATGAAATGGTCTAAAAATAGTAGGACCACCCACATCGCTGTTTTTTTTTTGTTATTGTACGACGTTTGTGGTGATTTTATCCAGAAACTGCAGATGAAAGGTGATTATTTGAACTAGGTATTCGATCAGGTATTTCGAGTTCGCAGTATAAAAGATTTTTTGTAGATTTAGGTGGTAAATGAGTAGTTACATTGTACAGTGGTATAATGTGCACCTCTGCCTACCCCTTCGAGGATAAGGCGTGATGTTATGTTATGTTATGTTATGTTATGAGTAGACGGATTACATTATGGTAAGCACTCAGTACTATCTCTGGACAACAACATGGACAACATGGCAGAGGTCTTATCAGTGCGTTGTGGGCTTGTGGGCCTTTTGAGAACCTCACTAGCCTCATTGCCCCTATTTCACTCAGATGACGGCATCGTCCCCCTATTTCCTATCCCTAAAACCTTAAGACTGGAAACGCACTTAAAACTCCCCTAGAGTTGTGGGTGTCATTTGGCGACGTGAATTCCTTAACATCAGCCGCCATCAGTTCGCACTACAAACCGCGTACACTCCGACCTCGTCTTAATTAAT